ATCCATAAACTGTCCTCTCCCAAGGTGTCAGATTCTGAAGATAGACTCATCAGCTGTTTGAAATATAAACTAAACATATGATTGGTTAAACTATTCTACACAAACCTGAGTAAGTATTCTATCAATACACACCTCCCTAGCAACCACACGTAGATTCTGGAATGGTGTAGATTCCAGAGGAGATTCTCGGTTGCTATGCAAATAAGTCCGCTTAAATGTTAATATTACAAATTTAATCTCGTCATACTCTAGAGCTACTCGACGCAGGAAAATACTCTGAAATTTTCGCGTGACGTCATCATCCTGTGTAGGTAATTCTGTAACAGAGCTGAGTCTGCATACCTGTGTGTAGTTATCGTTGCTAGGGAGTGGTGTGTGCCCTGTGATTATAATCTTACATTCCAAGAGGAAAGAGAGACAATTTATACTATCATCCACCATTCTGTTAACCAATCAGATTGCTAGTTATACCAGGAATATCATAGAGATAGAATTGAGGAATTGGAATGTGTCAGTTTATATAAAAAAGAAAATTTAGTTAAAACAAATCCTAAGCGATCGGGTATATGAATAATCATAAAATAGCATTCCAATCAAATTCCTGAGAGGATGGTTCGTTGCTAGAATAGAGCTCTTCTTGTGGATACTGCTTGGGGTAGGTCTCTACTTCAGGTCCATTGGACAGTCCCCTCAGGAAATTACTGAATGAATCTTTGAGACTCCTGAACAGATCTCCTGACACTGCATCTGCTAATCAATAATAACAACAACAATAATAAACAATAATAATAAGAGCAAGCCTCAAGTATTTGTTTACTTTATATTCATAAAAACAACAACAACAACAACAACAACAACAGCATACCCGGATTGATAGAAGATACTAATCCCTCAAATCTTGACACGTCTACATCTAACAGTTCCCCCTGTCCTCTCACCAATGTAGAGGTATCAGTCGTGACGTCATCTAGTCTCTGTACTTCTATCAGAGATCTAGAAACAGACATTAATTTGGTTGCTAAGGTAACATGTCAAATATGTGATAATATACCGATAAAAGGCTGTAAATGATTGGTTGAGATGGTTCTGAGTTTCGAAGGGATACATATGACACATGGGATAGGGGACAGGAGGATAGGGAACAGGAATAATAGGAGAGGTGTTAACCTTTGAAGAATTCTATAAATAGAATAACACGTCTGAAAATATTTACATAATCAGCTGATCTGTGACTTACAATCTTTCGAAGAGATTTAGGCTCACGTTTAACTAACAAAACAGCTGATTGGTCAATCTCCCAGTAAGCACCCTATAATAATTACAACATGTCACTATAAATAGAATGTTACTAAAAATAGCTACAACCTTCCCAGATTCTCCTTTAGGACGAGCTACTCTCTTAAAGAGCTTATTAAGTGACAAGTTGTGTCTCACAGAGTTCTAAAAATAGATACATTTTATACTGGAACTATAAGGTGTTAAGATATGAATATATACCTTCCATCCAGGTGCTGCATTCCTGAAGTACGGATACGTATCTAGGATAGAACTATATATTTCATTTAGAGTCAGTTTCTGATTTGAAGATTTCTTAATAGCTGTTGCTATGATATGAGCATAGGAATGTGATGGTTTATTTGGCGCCCTGGGAGAAGAGGATTTCATTGAGGTATCTGATTGACCAGGAGAGATTTTCTGGGGTTTAGGACGGGTCCCGAGACGGGAACAATAAAGACAATTCCCGCAAAAATGTTTTTGTTCAATCTTTGAATTGATTGGCTGTTTATCTTTTGAACAGCTGATTAGCCAATCAATGTTAGTCAAACTTCTGTCAAGTTCTGTCATAAACTGACCAATCAAATCATAGCTACCACACAACTAACAAAATGACAAATATTTACAAATTTTCAATAACCAAGGTGATTATTCATATTTTAACACCTTTGTACGGGGGACATAACATATAATCACATACTACATTCCATGAATCATAGCATTCTACACATGAATATATTCACCAACTTCCTAACGTGTTTCTGTGACGTGTTATGTCCCAGTTTCCATGGTTACCTCGTTGGTATTTGCTACACCCCTCAATGAGGGAGGGGATCATTGAAGGGGGGGGTACTATTTGGCTCCAAATTGGGCCAATTTAGCCTAATTTCTTGAATAAATATTGAATATAATTGAATAATTGAAGCATAAAATGAATTCAGAAATAAAGTTATGTAACAAATCACGCGGGGAAATCAGCTGATTATCAATTCAATAGCTCTGTTCAGCCAATCAGTTTAGAGTTAGAAAACATAATTTATGATAATACAATTATTGTAAAATTATTGAAGTGTTCCCACAAAAGGTGTGAACATTCTAATTAAGAAATCTGTGTATAACCTGTGAATCCAAAATGTGATAAACAAACAAACAAACAAACAAACAAAATAAACAAAATAAAAGAAAGAATTTGATTCGCTGCCCAAGCCATGCACAAGAATAGAATCAACCAATAAGATTCCTCAGATCCAAGCCACCTGGTGTGAACATCTGGAACTATTAAAGCTCGGAAGTAAAGTAAATACAAACAAATAAATTTAGAATCTCAATATTGTAAGGAATGGTTTCCACCACATGGCTCTATTCACGACACAAATGGCTTCACACCTTAGCTAATACAAAAGTGGCTTCTTATTCAAAAGAGTATATATATATGCCCAAGAGTTAAGTCAGAAATTTTTACAGCGCTTTTGAAATATTTTTATTGGCGAATTTATTATTGGAACTATCACCTTTTTAGTGTCATAATGGAAGCCACGAATTACCTGTGCTCACCATTTGGATCATACCTACCGGAGATTCCATCAGAGGTGACAACAAACCACCAAATTGTGTCGCACCGTGAAATAACACCCGAGGACAATATGCCACTGACTGGAGGTGACAAACAGCTGTTAGATATGACACAATTACTAAATGAAATGAGTATTGTAACACCACTTAACGAGAAGGAACAGATTTCAGAGAAAGAGGACAGTTCCTCTAGTAATTGCTCCCTACCAGCTGACCAACAGGATCCCCTTATAGCGGACATAATAAACCCCCCTCCACTTGATTGGCTGAGTCACCCACAGCAGGAGTCCAGATTCTGGCCCCCGGAGCTACCCGCTCAGCCTGTCTCCCCTAGTCCTGGTGCTTTATTCATAAACTCAATCCATCAGAGCTTTGAAATGGCACAAATGAGAAATCCGTCTCCAACAACTCATCGTGTTACCTACCCAGGGTCACAGGGGACGTATCCCTCACTTGTACCCAATAATTTCTACCAACCGGACAAGACAAGCCCCTTCTTCCCCAGACAGAAAATGCAAAGTGTCGAAACTAAAGAGTACATGAAAATGCCAGAGGTCATATGTACTTGGTCCGGACAGCTGCCCCCCAGACGTTACCGTAACCCTGTTTACAGTACAAAGGTGTTCCTGGGAGGAGTACCATGGGACATAACGGAAGAGACACTTCTTAACACCTTCAAACTGTTCGGTAACCTCAAAGTAGAGTGGCCTGGCAAGGATAGTAAGCATAACAGACACCCTCCAAAGGGTTACTCATACCTCATATTTGACTCAGAGAAGAGTGTTAAACTCTTGTTAACAGGATGCACACAGGACGCCAGCGAGGGAGGGGACTACTATTACAAGGTGTCATCCTCTAGGATGAGGAACAAAGAGGTGCAAGTGATCCCCTGGGTCCTGTCTGACTCTAATTCCGTATACCGAGCTAGTCCCCGATTAGATCCGAATACTACAGTATTCGTCGGCGGTCTACACGGACTCTTGAACGCAGATGCGCTAGCACTGATAATGGACGATCTTTTCGGAGGTGTCGTGTACGCGGGGATCGATACAGACAGACATAAGTACCCAATTGGATCTGGGAGGGTAACATTTGTGAGTGCTAAGAACTACATGAAGGGTGTACAAGCAGGATATGTGGAAATCAAAACCTCAAAATTCGCCAAGAAGGTTCAGGTGGATCCGTATCTGGAAGACACCCCTTGTAACATATGTGGACGCATAATGGGCCCATTTTTCTGTCGGGACATGAACTGCTTCAAATACTTTTGCAGGCTTTGTTGGGAGTGGCATCATTCCATAGATGGTTACAGAATGCATAAGCCACTTATGAGGACAACTAAGAACCAATCTGGATGTGAGTAGTTATTTTTAGAACAGCTCAGACGTGTTAATTTTATTGTTTTCTATTTACTTGTTGTTTTACACAATCATCGCTTCATTTTATGATAGTTACAATTTGTTTACTGATTTGTTTGTATTTGAATAATGAGCTCATTGATTTGTTTGTAAATTTATATATCACTTTTCTAAATATTATTAATATTCATATTTCAATTATTTGTTGTTAATTTGGGAAGTCAGAGTGTTAAAACATGGATATACAACAAACAAACAAACAAACAAACAAATATATGATATAATGCAAATATTTGTTGTTTTATGCGAATACTTAAGATGCTAAATAATAGCAAAATAGTGTGAACTATTAACAACAAATAATAAATCTTCATAACTCAAATATTCAAGCTTAATTCGCATTAAACTTCATTTATAGTATAAGTGTGATATTATCAGGAATGTTATACTTGCTTTAAAGAAGCTAATTTGATAAAAATTATGTTTTTCTGGTTACATTTGAGTTTATGCTAATCTAATTACAGAAATCTAACCTAAGCTTCTTCATTACATATTAGTTCCAGAAACTAGTGATGATTTATTATTAGTCTTCTTATATCAATTAGAAGAGAGAAATTGGTAGTATTTTTGGTTAAATTCAAACTCTCAATCGAACAGCTGATTCAGCAGAATGGCTGGGAATGGAACTAGCACATTTCCAAATTGAAAAAACAAATAATCAAATTATTGTGTAGAAATAGACAAAATAGTATACTAATTTTATAGTTCCATAATGAACTTAAACATTCTTTATGAGCTGTGATGGCCGAGTGGTTAAGGCGTTAGACTTGAAATCTAATGGGGTTTCCCCGCGCAGGTTCGAACCCTGCTCGCAGCGTACTTTTTAGTAAATTTACAATTTACAACATCCATGGTTAAAATCAAACTATAATACTAAACTGAAAGTAAATACAAATACCAAAAATGTGTCCATGTGGTATTGTGTCTAGAAAAGTGGCATTTTATAGCTGAAACATTTTCCAAACAAAAGAATAGTTCATATTGCAAGTTGTTGTTGTTGACACAGCACCCCCAATAACCAAAATATATAATTATTCGATTATAATTATTGCGACCATTCAAATAGCTTGCAAAAGATGAAAATGCAAATATCTCTCCCACTCAAATCCTAACAACAGAAAGAAGGATTAGGAATGTGGTTACAACAAGTACTTTGCCAAGGTCCCTATGTCATACTAGTGGCACATATAGGTATGTAGGTGGTTGATTGGACTATTGTCACAATAATTATCCTCACCACTTATCAAGAGTTGTTATTATTAATCTATGAATTATGGATTTTAAGAAGCCTCTTGGAGCATGAGACGCAGGCCAACTCTCCTGCCCTCTCCCCCCTTCAGAGGTCCTGGAGACAGGAACCAAGTAGCCGCATTGCATACACGTATGTGACAATCCAAATGCTGGCATTTGCAGCAAGAAATTGAATTTCCATATTCGTGTATTATGTCTCCTCTATTATACCGATGCATTCCTGATACCATTATTCGTATCTATGTGCTCTAGGGGCAATATTACAATTAATATATCCTACAAGGGTCTAATGCTAATTCAAAGGACGGTAATAATGACTTCGATATGTTACTATATTTGTACTATTTCACACCTCGATATAAGCGGGTATTTCTATATATCAGTGTTGATATAACTGGAACTAATGAGATATATATATATGTATGTACGAATTTTCACACCTCTGAGTACCAGGTAGACGTGAGTTTATTGAGCGGTTAGTATGGCGATGAGAACATAGTTACAATAATACACAAAAGGAATTCACTGCTGATAATAAATAGCGTAGGAAAGATAAGACATAACAATTCTTAATATTTACTAATAAACAAACAGAAGTATAGAATCACATCGGGACACTATAGGTTATCGACCCCAAGGGGACGAAAGGATCATTCCAGAGGGGACACAAATCCTAAAGAATAATCAGTATGGATATTATGTATCCTTTGGAAGGTGTGAAGTGGCACAAAGTGGCATAATACGACAATATATACATATCTTAACTATTAATTAAAAACAACAAAATAGAGAGCTAGGATGTGACACAATGGTGGCAGTCATAGTTCCAGTTAGCCAAAAATATCTGGAATTATAAAGAACTAGTCCCTCAGCACTTAATAATAACTATAGCGCGTATCAGCTGTTTTAAGATATAGCATAGAATCATGTGTTTAGTATTTATAGTTTGTTAGCATAAAAGAGGCGTGAAAATATGTGTAAATGCATAATTAAAATAAGCGCGTTACAGCAAAGGAGGAAAGGAATGTAATCTCATTGAGAGTCTAAAGCTGACTGGTAAAAACCAATCTCACTTCTCAAAACATTCTTCTCGTTTTCATAGAAATTTCGAAGTTCTTGTAGGATACCAATTGTGGCGCCTAATCTCTGTTCCTCTAGGGTCTCCTGCTCCCTTTTGTTCCTCTTATAGAATAGCTTCCTTTTAGAATAATGTATGTTAAGAATCGCCTCTGCAAACACGCGGGAAACTTCGCTCTTACAAAGCAAATTTTTTATTTGTTTTGAGTCAAATTTGGCTAAACTTTCGTTTTCTATTAAATCGAAAAAATTAGAATTTTCAGGTAGAAGAATCCGCCAATCAGATTTGAGGATTGGTTCCAGTTTTTCTAGAATTTCTAAGGTCATTTTTTGTATTTAAGAATTCTTTCATGTTTTTATACCTTTTTAAGCGCGGAAATTGCAATTCAGTAATAATTACAAATACTAAAAGGTGCTAAAAGTTCAAGGGGCTGATTTGTGTCTTTAAACAATTCTGGTAATTGATTAGTCAACAAATAGGACATATTTGATCCGCCAACTTTCAGAGAAATGTGCCCAAAAGCGAAAATTACTCAAAACAATCATCAAACAAAATTGTACAGTTTATGCCCCTATGGAAATATTGTGAGTTTACGCGCCTAAATATTATTCAAGTGTCGACAGATCTGGCGCCTGAACTAATTTCCACACAAGTAAATCTCAGCAAGGTGTACATACAGGCTCTAAGACTTCCGGTACATCCTGTAGAACCTCATAAATAAGAATTTACGGATAGGACACATTTCGAAGTCAGCTCGTGTACGCATAAACGAGAACTACTGTCATTCTTTTCACTGGTATAGATATATGGGACACATATATTACTAAATATAAGCGCCAGAAGGAGGGAAGGATACGTTTGTTAATACTCAGCTATCAGCTGTGATTGTAAGAACGAATAAGGAATTCAAAGATTCGTATACAGAGGAGTCTCCCAATAGCGGACACATTGGAGATTAGATTTTATCCTTTGTAGATGAGATGTCCTCTTCTCAGTATTATTTACATGTATTATAAATTATTTAGTTACACAAGCTTGTCCGTTGTAGAGGTGTTGTGCGCCATACGGAGTGTCCGTTTTGGGAGACTCCACTGTAGTCAAGAAAATCAAATAATAAATGAGTAAAATATAGAAATTCTCAGATAAGAAATTTCTGAAAATATTCACGATTTTCACAATAAAATAATTGGAAAATTCAATTCTAACTTTGAAATGATTTTAGAAAATATTGACACCTCAAAAAGTGAAAATATTAAAATTATAAATCTCAGAAATTAAATAACAAAATTTACAAATTTGGAAATATTTATAATTTTCATTAATAAATAATTTTAGAAAAATTAACAAAAAATTCTAGAAAATTCTAAGAAATATAATTCCAAGAAAAATGTGAAAAATGCAATATTTTAATTTAATAAAAGCAAAAATTCCCAAAAAAGGCGCGTAAAATTAATTAAATAATAACCTATCTTTGCCTAGATTTTGAGAAGAAGCGCGCCTGCCAGCTCAGCCAATCAGAATGCTTATACTAATTACATTATCATACGCGGATGGTTGATAAGTCCCTGTAGAATGAGATCTCATTTGCCAGGTCCGCTCTCTCCTCCTCCAGGAGTCTCTTGGTCCTCAGGAGATCACAAACTTGTGTGTCTAGTCCTGACATTACGGACCTATCCCTCATCCTTTGGTTCCGTTTATCAACAGCTTTTTTCCTGGAATACCTCATGTTAAGGATGGGAGCACTGACCAAAGGAGACACATTAGCCTCTCTGAAGAGTCTGTTCACGATCGATCCGTTTATGGACAACAGGGCTGAATAATCGATCAGCTGAGCAAGGGGTTCCCCTCTATTCACCAATTCCTGCCAATTGGACACAAGGACAGGGTGTAGGGGTCTAAAATTCACACCTTTGAGATCCATTTGTTTAATTTTTTATTGTTAAACACATTTCTTAGTTATTTATATGAATTTTATACTTTCAGTTTCAATAAAAACTGAACGCATTAGAACAGTCCCTCTCCTCTTTAACCAATCAGATTAATGGGTTGAGTTCATTACATATTGACACTAATTGTATGAATACATAAACGTAGTTCCATATTGTATTATGTAAGCTATAGCTATAGTGGGGAGCTTATTTTTGGCTCCAGATGCAACTAATGAACCATTAGCATAGCAGAACTGAGTCTATAAATATTCTCTTTGGTTCTAATTCGCAGGTGGATTGAATAAGTTGAGAATTGAATGGATCTCAAAGGTGTGAATTTTAGACCCCTACACCCTGTCCTTGTGTCCAATTGGCAGGAATTGGTGAATAGAGGGGAACCCCTTGCTCAGCTGATCGATTATTCAGCCCTGTTGTCCATAAACGGATCGATCGTGAACAGACTCTTCAGAGAGGCTAATGTGTCTCCTTTGGTCAGTGCTCCCATCCTTAACATGAGGTATTCCAGGAAAAAAGCTGTTGATAAACGGAACCAAAGGATGAGGGATAGGTCCGTAATGTCAGGACTAGACACACAAGTTTGTGATCTCCTGAGGACCAAGAGACTCCTGGAGGAGGAGAGAGCGGACCTGGCAAATGAGATCTCATTCTACAGGGAATCCTTAAATATGGAATGTTAATATTAATAAATTTGTTTGTTAGAAAATATTTGTTATTTTGCTTTCAATAAATTTGCTGCTGCGCTACATTTGATTGGTTGATAGGGACCTGACCAATATAACACCAAATTGGAACTGAAACTATAAAGTACTAATGACCGAGGTGTTAACCATCTCCTGTATATAATCCGATTGGACGATAAACTCGAATACACAACTGGTCAGAAATTGGACAAAAGTTTAATTCACAAATACATTCCACATATGATATATGGTTGCCATCTAAGAAGTGGTGCAAGTGGTTTCACCACCAATTATTTTATGGGTTTAACCTATGAGATAAGGACCGGACACTTTCTGTCCCTCAGAGTGGGAAATTAATTATTCATACATCAAACAGAAAATAATTCGTCCATGGTGATAAAATATGCAAAAGGAATTCACAGAAGTGTTACAATTATTGTGACACTACCTCCAGCCGACACAATTTACGCGCCAGATCTATAATTATGGTTCATTAGCTAAAACAAAACTGAAACTACTCACGTATATAACTAAAGAACAAGAACCACAATATATTATACGTTAAGAGACATAACTAAGAGTATTGAATTGCAACTGAAACTAATTACAATTAATGTTATAGAGAGATGTACAAGATGGTATCAAGAGGACATAATATGGGGTGTAATTGGGAGGTGGGAGGGTCTGAGTTTCTTATTGGTCCTCCTCATCATCTTCCTCCGTGCTTCTAACACCTTAACCTGCTGATCAGGTGTTAGAATTGGTTTCATAATTGATTTCAGTTCCTCTGGTTTCTTTCTACGTATTTTCCGTATATCTAATAATTGGATAATCACATCTTCAAGCTTCTGAGAGGACA